CAGAATATTTTAGTACATGGTTCAAGCTTCAGGTAGTTTATGGCAAGCAATAATAACAAAAAAGCAAGTCATTGTGGGATAAAGTAGTATTTGATTATAAAACCACAAAGTGTATTAAATTCTTCTGCATGGCAGGAAAAAGAATTGCTTCTATTTATCATTCTATCCATTAGATACATGCTGAGAGAATACTAAATATTAAGGGAATTTTATGTTCATAGGTTTAATTTTAGAATGATGGAATCAAATCTGTGTGTCTATCCATCAACCTGAGTTTTACTTTCTATTACCATTTCCGGATACCAACAGTCAATACTGATGACTTAAAGAGGTTTTTAGAGACTTAAAATATCTGCGTTATATTGTTGATTCACTTATAAGATATTCCACTTCCGTCTAGTCTTGACGTAATAACACTTCCATAAGTTACTCTGATAAAGTATTAGGCTTACCCATAAAAGCTTTCAGTAACTTTATTTTTTAAAGCTATTTGCTGTCATTATAAAGTTAAATAGATCCTCAGAATATACTTGAGGTTGCTCCTAAGGTATCCAAACTCTTCTTTTGTTAATGAATTTCTAGCGTTTTGAATACAGGTAGTTATCAAAATAAATTTACATTTTTTAGAATATACTACTTTGTATAATTAAAATGAAATAATTATATTTCACCATTTCAAATTAAGCTTTCCACAATTTTGTCAATTATAATTGCCAAAAAATTCATACCTCCCTCTCGAGAGCACTTAAATTAGAGATCTTTACTGATGAACCTTTTTATTTTGATGTGCTTCTTGCTTAATTATTACTAAAGCCTAATGTAACATGTTTTAGATCTATATGGTTTCCTTACATGTGATTATGCTGTGAGCTGTATGGGATAAAAGGTATTTCATAGCTATCATATAGGGAGTGCACAACCACAGGGAATCTGGCACGCATCGCAGGAGCCATGGACAAATTAGGCTTGAAGGTATACACTCCGCACAGTGGATGTTCCATCAGTATGAACTGCTATCATGAGTGTCCTTCACAAAAAATATATGAATATATATATTCATGTCATTTATTTAAGTTTATTGGCTTTAAACGAAACCTCAACATAAACTTCACAAAATAGATCCATTTCCTCTTATTTGTTTCTTATTTTACAAGGAAAAATGTTTCAGCAGGTACAACCGAGAGACCATAATGTAGGCAAATAATAACTCATGTCTACTCTTTGTTCTTGCGAGTGTATTCTGCTTCAGCTCCCTGCTGCAGCAGCAGGATATTGCAAGAGACAGACAGGAATACCAATGTTATATTCAACATGTTGTTATTAATTTTATATGTAACGGAAGATCAATCGATATAATGAAGGAAAAGAGAACACATCCCTGAAGTATACATGTACAGAGAAAAGAAACACAGGGTTTATAACATCCAACAACAATAATAACAATAACAACGATCATAACGAAAGGAGTGTTGGATGAGAAGCGACAGCTTCCCAATGTTTTAGCCAGCCTACTGACAGACAGACACGACGTGTTGTGATGTATATCAAACTGCACCAACACGCCACGTCTGTGCCAAAGAGAATATTTAATTCCCATATAGTTTTGACGGACATACTAAATAACAACACAGATATATGTATATATTATGCGTAATCATTATAATGATATAATAGAGGAACACTCGTTTGTAACAAAGCTGGATTTACTTGATTCGGCCACGCATTATTCTTCTGAGCATGCGCATCAGTGCTGAGAGATCTCCATCTTGGTACAGCGATCAATGTCAAGTCATAATAAACATACATTATAATTACACTCAGCACATACATACATGTTCGGAGTCAATCTAAAGTTACTGCTCACATTCATGCTTCAGTTTGTACTGAAGCTACACAGCACAAAGGGACTGAGTTCGGATTATTTTATTCAGGGGGGAAGGGCTCTTTGGTTTATATATTTTTACCTCTACAAGTTGTTATGTGATACAAGTAAGGCTCACTGCGTGAAATGTGCAACTGACATCATATCAGTCTAAATCTTGGTGGAATCAAGACCAGTTTTGTACAGTATTTTTTAACTCATATACCTGTAATGATGAAATGGATGGATTTTCAGAAAGAGATTTTAATTTTCAGTACTGGATTCGAGAGTAAACTGGGTGTCAGTTGTAGGTTGAGGATGTTCAGCCAAAGAGAGTGGGTATTTGGAGAATAAAGTGTGGGAGTGGCTGTGGTATTCCCTTCTGCAACTAGTTCTAAATTGGCTGAATAAACTGGGAAAACAGTAAAATGTTGACTTTAACATTACTGGCTGAGGCATTTATTATTATGTTCCACTTTCGAGGGCACGAACATTCTATAGATATGATTCTCACATACATAATTAATAATAATATTATTATAGTAAAATATACACATGTACAATATTTATTATGAAGCTCCCCACACGAATGGGAGCTCACAAATTCCCCATTTTTTATTATTTGTTATTTTAGTTTATTTATTTATTTAAAAGTTAGGCTGATTGTTTCTGTTTCCATTAAAACAATGATGAATGATAGAATAAAAATAATGACTTTGAAAAGAAAAAGATGGATACACAGGGCGAAACAGGGACAGGATTGAGACTCAATATGGATTGACACAAACAGAAAGACAAGAATGAAAGAATTACAAAGACCAAACCAGCATACTACAATTGTGGCTCTCTACAATATCTCTATCATTGAAACACAAGTGGAAACCACAAAGAAACATCCAATACTTCTTCCAACACAGATATTTAGTTTTTATTTTTGTTTTTATTTCAATTGAAAAAAATCCACAAAGTGCAACGTGCGTAGGCTACTATATAAATAACAAGTGTGGCAGGATTGATATCGTATCACAATGTTGCAGTGCTTCAACGTGCTTAGAATATAGCTAAAATGTGCTATGTAACATGAATATAAAAAGAACATTTCTTGTTTTTAGATTGGTGTGTGTATGTGTAGAATGAGTGAGTGTGCATATTCATCTTCCAAAATCGTTTTTAATTCGGTGCATTAAGAAGGAAACTCAAAACAAAAGTGAAAGGAAGGACAATCAAAGCTCAACATGTATGTTATGGGTGTATGCTGGTTCTTGAAATGGATCAGAGGGCTGTTGGTCTAATCTTCTCAGCTCAGGTGGGGAAAGGGGTAAGGTAAGGTAAGGGGAATTGATTTTGGTTTGGAAACTAGGTCTCTGTCTTTCTGAATCTATAAGAAATGTAGTTCTCTCCCAGCTTCTTCTAGGATTGAACAAATAAAACATGGGCGCCTGCACAATGTATCACCCACCGACCTGAGAATAACTTGTTTAAACATGCACAATTTGTCATTGAAAATATAGATAGAGGACATACTCGAGCTTGTTGTCAATGATTTTTTTTTTGCAGTTTTAGTCCTTTAGTGACCAACTGAGGATGACAAGCAAAGAGAAATACAAGCAATGTACACATATGGTGATTCTGAGCAACAATGGTGACAACCTCCATTATCGCATATATATTTTATTATGCCTGCCTGAATTTAAGGGCAGGAGCATTTAAGTCCTTAAGTCCTCTATTTTCTCTTTATTGTAGGCCAGTTGTTTTTAAAATAATATTTCTTTAAAAAGTCCACTGTTAAACATTCAAGACGTCACCAATGCTGATGAGCATGACAACTTGTAAATGCTATGTCTTACATTAAATCAAATATCTCTTTGACCAAGAACAAACCCACAAGTCCAGCGAGCAAAGTAAGTGCAATATATGAACTACAGCACAAGAGAATAAATTACAGGACTCATTTTTAGCAGTACACATATTTCAATCATTAAATAATGATTCCTTCTGGTGATAGTTCTATATTCTGTGGAACTTTCCGTTGGTTTGTATTGTTTGGTTTGTACTTGCCCTTGAAGAGGTTAAAATTGTGTGGTATATTCCTAATTACTTTAAATATAAATAAACATAAAAATTGTGAAATTTCCTGCTCCATCATTCCCAGTACATACTTTGTTGTACATGTATTCTTTTTGCGAAAGTCACTTACCTAGACACAGTTTGGAGTCATGGCAATTTGGAATTATTTAAACCATTCAAAATCATTTAATTTGTTCCAAATTGAAGGGTTCTGGAATTTTCTGTATTGTTATGTCCTTTTCTTCCTGTGCTAAAGAAATCGACTGCAACCACTGTGAGCACAGCCACCGCCCAACTTCCAATTTATGTAACCACTAGCAAATGACATGCAATGAAACCAAGCTGTGAATTACGAGTTTTACAGTATATGAACTAAAGCTTCATAAAAATTATAACTTTTGCTTAACAACATTATTAATGACTTGTATATATTTCTGGTAACAAAATGCCTATGAATTGTTTATAATACAATATCTTAATAATGTTACTGACTGTTTTCAGTGACTACAGAAGTGAAATAATGAAGCAATAACCACATGCTCTGCAATCTAGAAAAATATAAACACTAGGGTTCATCTCTTAGGTTAATGGAAGAAATGATACTAGAGACAACAAATCACATGGTTTTTTGTTTCAGAAACTTCTTGATGGGAAACTTTTTGACAATAACACTTGCTACAATCGGCTGATTTTTTGTTAGAAATGCAACAAAACACCTGCTTAGGCTGCCTTCACAAATTTGACATTATCAGTGTCAGTACCAGTTCATGTTAGACTTTTTTTGAGAAAATCCAGTGTTATCAACTGCCATTTTAAAACCACTCTTGAATATCTGGTATGGTGTGGCCCATTTTTCTGTTTGTTGATATTTAAAGAAATTTGTATGCATTGGACAAGAAAGCAATGTGGAATGCGATGTGGAAAGCAAATGGAAAAACTACCACATTATCACTTTTCCTGGATAGTCTCTTTCCAAACACAGAGACACCATGTATGCGAACCAGAAGACGTAAGAAGATGCTGGATGACCTTGGGGAAAGAAGAGGATGTTCTCATTTGAAGGAGAAATCCCTAGATCGCATTAAGTGGAGAAACTGTTTTGGGAGAGACTGTGGACCTGTCGTCTGACAGATTACTGATAAAAAAAGTTATTTACAATATCATGGTTTCAAAACAGTTTAAACAATGACCCAATTTTTTAGAAGCTTTTGTAGTGTTACAAACAGTCTATTAAGTTTGCTCAGTCTGCTGGTCACTCACATGCATGGAACAATTCAAGAACTGATGGGCAGATTTTCACAAAATTTGACAGTGGGCAATAAAAACAACTCAGAAACTAATTCAATTTCCATTTAGGCCGATGTATCTAACCATGATTTTAAGTGAAGATTACAGACATTTCTGTGCATTGGTATAGTGATAGGCTGTGGGCTGAACAGCTGGATTTCAATTCCTGACAGGGGCAAGATATTTTTCTCTAACCCCATAGTATCCAGACCGGTTCTAGAGCCCACCCAGACTCTTATCCAATGGGTACTGGGAAGGCACTTTTTCTGGGGGTAATGCTACCAGGGTGTGAAGGTGGATGTTCAACTTTATCTACTGCCAAGGTCAAGAAGGGTAGAACTGTACCTCCATTCCCCTATATGTCTTCAAGACATTGTTCTTAAAGAATTAAGCAGAGGGGAAACTTTACCTTTATTTCTACCTTCAGAAATTTGAGATAATAAAATAAAACATATGTCAGGAGTATATTTTCAAATATCCATATTCAGCAGTTATTCAGTCAGTCTCTAGAACATGATCACAATAAGGAAAGAAAACAAATACAACAGTGTCTTTTTTACTTCAAACTGCATTAAATCAGATTAGTTTTACTGTATTATTACAGGGCCTCAAAGCACAAGATGTAGATTAAAGAAGTATATATATATGAAGTAACATTGAAGTCTTAATGCTTATCATTTATTTATTCAGTATGTCTATATATTCTTGCAGTTTGAGTATCATCAATTAATTGTGAATTGAACTTTTTTTGTTACAAGCGAAAAGTTCATCATAGTCTCAACAGCTTCATTTAAAATTTTTCTGCTGAAAGCACTTATTAAGCAGGTGCTATATAGATTTTCAGTCTTGTTAGAATGTGCTAGGGTGTCAACTAAAAATGCAGACTATTTAAAAATGAAGCATACTCTCTTCTATGATTTAATGCCGTGTAGTGTGGTATAAGTTTACTGATGTTTAAAAGGAACATTCTGCCTCCCTCTCATATTCTTAAGTGTGAAACAGCATGTTCCTTCAAAAACCTCAAGCAATCATATTGAAGACAGTACAACGGAACAATTTTTTGACTGGTGACTGGGTGAAAGAGACAATTTACAGATATGGGTTTAAGTGCATCCAATATTAGTTCTGATAATATCAGAATGTGTGAAAGCAGCCTCACAATCTCAGTTAATATAAGAACGTGACTTTCTCCAAACATTCCTGTTTAAGTTATTCATCATCACAAATACTTCAACTCCAATATTTTAGTAGAATGAACTCCAAACTCTATGCCTCAGTTCCACAGCAATGACATATAGGCTGATTCAGAATTTAGAAGGAAGTAAAAGCCTGCAACATACAAGCTACAGGAAGATGTCATGTTGTTTTTTTATTAATTATTACTAGAGAATAACACCTATGATCTTAGCTCAACAGACCACCTATATCTTGGCCATAAAACCCTGGCAGGTATCCCTTAAGTTAAACACAATTCCACATGTGAAATGAAACTGAATTATTCAAAGTGTTGATAATATTTAATTTTACAAGGGAGAATGGTGTCTTGTGAGGTGACTGTGGCCTATAATTACATTTCTGTGGTTAATTTAGAGCTGTTTTTATTGGAATTTACGTGAGAGTTCTGGAGATCAAATCAGGATTTCCTATAATGGGAGATACAAATATGTGAGAAAATCACACATTTTCTCTTCCCATCTCTGATTTCAATTTATGGCTCATAAGCACTTTTTTTTGATACTTAACCAATTTACATTAATTTTCTCCCAAAATAAAAAAGTTATGCTTAACAATAGTCATTATACCACAGAATCAAATTAATGTAACTTCCCTCTAACTGTGAACCAGCATCTATTCATTATTTTGGTTATCATTAAATACATTTCACAATAGGCCACCAATTTGCTATAATTCCTATCTTCATCAATAGGCTTTACATGATATATTTTCATACACTTTTATAGAAAATATGCTAATTTATGGAAAATAATTAGTGAACAAATGTCTTTCAAGACTTCCAAATTAATAAGGAAATTATCTCTTTTGAATCATCAAGTAGCAAGCTGTGGAAAAAATATATACTTGTAGAAACACAACTGCACCCGATTTTATATACGTGTATTTACTTTGCTAGTGTGTAATTCTATTGTTTCATGTTAGCTCAGAAGTAGGACTTTGAGACACGAAATTTTAATGATTATCATTTATTGCTTTTCCTCTAAAAGCAATTATGTCTTCAGGATCCTGAATATAAATTCAACACTCAGTATTATTACGGACGTATATAAAATGAACTGATACGTTGTACATATCAGATATTTGCCATGTTTACCACTCTCATGAACACTGCAGGAATGAGAGATGTCTTATGGTTTAAGAGATCTAAAATATTTGATAATGCAGAGATGAACATTACAAAATAAAAATAAAAATAAACCATTTTAGAATTTAGTATAATATAATGAAAATTAATTAGTTGCTCTTAAATCAGCATTTTATCTAAGCATATTGATGTCTAGGAAATTTGAAAATACTCTTTGTATTTCCATGAAAAATATCTGTGTCCCAGTAATAGCTACTTTAAAGTCAGTTGAGATGGTTACGTAACAAGCTGCATATTTTTATCATATTCTTTAGATCTAATTGTCAAACAACATTTCCTAAGCCCTTCTCAAGTTATTACTCTCCAACAATTTCAACCAACCAATGCAACTACGAATGTCAGATCATGGTGTGCAATTTAATGAACAGAGCGTCCAGTGGAGCATGGGAATGTCCCTTAGAAAATGTCTGAATATAGCAATTCTTATTGTTTCTAACAATACTATACAAGAAATATGAATATATCCTCTGGTTTAAATCTGTTTATAAATAGGGAATCTGTGAAGAGCGGTTCGGGGGCTCAGGATGATAATACATGTCATCGCCCGAAGCTCTTCACAGAATTTCTGCCTCTTTCCTTTGTGACATGTCCAATGTGACCACATGGACAACAGAGTCCAGCCTCTGGTGCTGCACACCATGACCCACTCGTCAGTTGTCTGTCCTGCATATCCAGAAATCAGTGCTCTCTATGAAACAATGTCATCAAGTCGTTCACATTCCTAGCATCAAGTTTCACAGTGGAGCCTTTCATCTACAGACACATTGACACAAATACAGATAATTTGACATATTACTGATTAAGAATTGCTCCAATCTGTGACCATATACACCTTTACTATAGTAATATGATGGGTGTGAGTATTCTACAATTATTTCATTCCTATTAAAATTATTACTAAATTTATTATTCATATTTGCACATTGCAACTATTACAACATCAACAACATTGATCAGGGCTATGTAATACCACATATAACATTGATAAAAGTACGTTTTTTTGTTCTAAATATAAGCATTTTTTTGTTGATTTTTGTTTAGTTTTATATATATAAGCTGTGTTCTAATTGGTTAAATTACTACATTATAACATAATTGATATCCCATCATATACTACTTTCCAGAACAATAATTTTTCTTTGCTATAATTCATTTACCTCTGAACTTTTCATATATACAGTCTTAGAACCAGTACTTTACTTTCTCTCTGTCTTAGGAGTTATGTGACATCGATCAGCTTCCTGCCGAGGCTCGGGGTAGGAGGCTGAAAATAAAATCAACGTTGTCTGGTAGCCAAACGTCAAACTCTGGACTCACCCTCCTATTGTATCTCAATCCGTTTTGAACTCGATGAAGTGCTGGTATCAAAGCACCACCACAACGGATCCTTGCATCCAAACCTGTCGGTTCATATCAGCACCAAACAAAATTGTTATTCGGAGACAAAATTAAGAAACATATTCTGCTACTGAAACACTTTCTAACTTGGTCAATAATTTCCATGGTGTAAGTTTGAATTATTTTAATTTCAACAAATTTCTCATGTTGAAATAAATGAATGTCAACGAGCTTCTAATAAGCCTTTTGTTGAGGAAGAATGTATGAAGTGCCAAATGACTTCAGTATCAGACACAGCAAGTCATAACAGATGGTTGTGGCATTATAAATGCTGTGGTGAGTAACAGAGAGGGGGACCTAATGGACATATCTGATCTAGGTCTTCGATTTTCAATGTTGCATGACAAATGTGTTCCAAACCTGACCAGTTCTGAAGGTTCTTCTGGGCTATAGGCGTACAGTCCCTAGTTTTGAGACACTTGTCATTAAGAGTTACAGTCATATACTGTTAATTACGTAGCCATCTCAAATGCATATGTCTGTAAAATGATTCTACAGAAAATATGTTACATTAATTAAATATAATGAATTACTTAAAATAATTATAACATCACGGTTTACTACTACTCCTGAGTTTAAAATTTCGTATTTCAGTCCTTAGCTAGCCTGTTCTCTTTATTCGCATCTGCTTATTTCTATATAGGCCGTGTACCCATCTCTTGATACAGTATCACAATGCCATTTCCTCTTATTTTGGGCGCACTCCACTCTCCTTGTAATCAATATGCATGTTGCCCATTATATAGAGTGTCGCTGTGGGGAGGAGGGGGTCAGAGGAAATGATGTGGGGCTCTTTTTCTTTTTTTCTTTTTAGTTGGAGGCTTGAATAATACTTTTGTGAATGCTCTGTTCTCATTGATTTCCATCTCAATGTGGAACGAGCTAGCAAGTTGGAGAAGAAATTCTGTTTTTTTATTTTCTATTGTTGGAATGACTGAGGTTGACTAATTTGATGGAATGACTGAGTAAGTGAGGTACAACAGTAGACGAAATAAAAAATAGGTACAGTATGAGATTCTGTTTTGTTTCGCGTATTTTTGTTCTCTCCATCCTTGGTACAGTCATTCTGGCATTGATGTCCTCTGTTAGCGCTGTCTGGCCCACCGTAGTAGTGCATCTGCCAGTACATCTAAGTGGGCTTTCGTCTGCAACAAACACCAGAGTGAAATTAATATAGATGGTGCCCACAATACTTATACAAGAATACACAAATGGTGGTGGAGTTGGTAGTAGTAGTAGTAGTAGTAGTAGTAGTAGTAGTAGTAGTAGCAGCAGCAGCAGCAGCAGCAACAGCAGAGTAGTAATAATAGTGGTAGAAGCAGTAGTAAGGTAAAAAAGTAAAGTTGTCCTGTGCTTAACTAATTTAGCACTGTGCCATGAAGGCCTATAGGGAAGTGGATGTATAGATCCACATTTTTTGACCTCGGCATTAGTTTGAATTGGGTGGTCAGCTTCACGCCCCAGCCGCTTTATCCCCAGAGAAAGAGCCCCCAGTATCCATTGGATAGGAGGGTAGGTGAGCCCCAGAGCCAGTCTGGAAGGCATAGAGAAGAGAAAATTCTTGACTCTGCAGGGACTCGAACTCCTTGGTCGTCCAGCCCATAGCCAGTTGCTATACTGAATGTGATATGCCGGCAGTAGTAGTTTATTTAATGACACTGTCAGTAACTCTGAGTATATTCTGTCAAATGACTTAATGATAGTAATGATGAACTGTGAAGGAAGTGGAAGGAAGCTGCTTTGCAGTAGTTTAAGGTATGCCCTCCAGAATTTGCTTGGAAAGACTGGGGAAGCCTATATATATATACTTCTGTTGGAATAGTCAGTCTTTGGCTAAGTTCAAACCAGGCACCTCCTGAACACAGATAGGCAGATACGAGTATATTGCTTAAGCCAACATGCTTGTTAAGGATGTCAGGTGGGTATCAGTGTACAGGATTACCAAAATATCAACAGCCATAATGTTAAATATATTACACACTCATTACAATTTTTGTTGTTGTATTTTGCAGTGTATAAATATAGATATGCATACAGACAAACTGAAAAAAAAGATACATGGAATTAAAGTAAATGTTAGATTATGAAAGACACATTTCAAAACTATGGACAATGATAGATTTGAGTATTCTGAAGGATTCTTTGTTTACAATCTTGACTAGATTTGCCATATTTCTTTCCCCTTTGTCAGAGAGTGTGGGTGTTTCTTGAACTGGCCTGTAACATTAATTGAAAGATGTTATCCTTTCAATATTACATGCATTTTATTGATGCATTACTTGAAATTTTTTGTAGACCCATGTTTTGTATTTTATCACATTTCTTTACTAGAATGCGCACTTCTTTTACAAGCAGAAGCTCAAATAATGTATATGTAAATTTGTGTGTACTCTCAGAGGAGAACCTGCAATTTTTCCTTCTGCACGGAACAATGTCATCTATTACCATTCTCAGTATTTTGAAAATAACTGAAGAATGCATGCAGCCAGCAATTCAACAACTGTGGAAGTCATTAGGTTAGGAAAGCAAAAAATAAAGGATACATTGAATTCTGACCACTATCAACTAGATCAGTACAGATCAAACATAACTAAATGTTGTAAGGCTGACGTGAATAACTGGAAATCTTGAAATGTTTATATGGTGCCTGAATTAATACTGTTGTATAGGACCTATGGTTGAAAAGAAATGATGGAAAAATAGGACCAGGGACAGTGCAGCAAGAGGAGCCTCGAAAAGATGGACACTCAAGAAGAGAAGTCAGGTGTAATCAGAAGGTGGTACTGGATTCATGGACCGTGACTTACAGGAGTAACTACATCTTGGAATAGAGAGGGCGTCCAGCAGGATCTTCTGGAAAGCTCTTGTGCTGGAGATCATGAAGTTAAGGGTCAAACCTTCAGTCTGTATTTCTAAAATGAATATCAGGATGGTCAGGACATTGTGGAAGGGTCGGCCACCTCCAAAACGAAAGAACAGACTGCACATAGATTAAGAACTGGAGATGTAGGAGCACTGGTCGCTCTAGGTAGTTTGCCCACACCAACTGAAAGAAGGACATTAATTTTTTGCACTCTGTTGTGTGTCATGACTTGGAAATAAAAGTTGATGGTATTACACATCGGCCGNCAATTAATCAATAATTTCAACAATCTAATAATCTATGTATTCGACCTTCCATTCATTCATCAGTCCCCATTTTAATTTACTCATAACGCTTCCCATTAATCCATCCAATCAACAGTCCACCCATTAATCAACCAATCCACTCACCCATACGGATTTTCGCCGAATAAACAATTGATTCATCCAGATAGCCAGACTGTAAAAATAATTTTTGGCAAATAATGCATTTCTGAAATTATACAAGAGCGTAGTTATGAAAGTAAATTTATGACATCCCCCTGCTTCATACCACGCTGTCAAGGATATGAGGAGTTTGGAAATATGCTCCATTCATTTCTTCACACTTATTTTTCCATTGGCTCTACAGCCTCCTTAGGCACTGGCCCCTGATTTTTTTTTTTCAGTTTCATGATCATTTTACAGACGGTAGGACTCCTTGGACGAGTGATCAGATCGTCGCAAAGCCTTTACCTAAACACAGGACAACACAAATACAGAATAAACACATACCAAACAAAGATGCCTTGTGTGAGATTCGAACCCATCATCCCGGCTTATATCTAGATATGGTTTGTCAGAAGTATACCTATATATATATATTCTCAGTAGACTCCTGTCCTCAACTTTGAATATTTCCTCTTATTTGAGAAATCTAAGCCTTGGATTATTTCTTAGGTTTATTATTTCGGAGCATTCAAGCACCGTAACAAAAAAGGAAAACAATATTCAACACCGCGAGACTTGGGGTTCTCATGATGGTGGTCTTATCGGATGTCTCATAATGTACGTGGTCTCATAGAAGTTAACTAAGCTTATGAGGAAGGTGGGCCACTCAGAACAGACAAGGCTAGGATTGAAAGGGCAGCCCTGAAAGAGTAAAGGGAAATGGGGTCTTTCATGAAACACTCAGTTATGTCGTGTGATAGGCCGCGCCATAGCTCAAGCGGTTAGTCGCTGGCTTCCCACCTCGGCTGCCCGGGTCTGGTCAAGTGGGATTTGTGGCGGACAAATTGGCACTGGGGCAGGTTTTCTCCGAGTACTTCGGTTTCCCTTGCCAATCTTCATTCCACTAAATTCTCCACCATCATAATCACCCGTGGCAGGTACAAGAGGCCAATCGGTGGCCGCCGTGACGAGTGGACCCAACTGGACTCAACCCCCCACTGTGTGAATTTAAAATTTTTAATTTTTATGTCGTGAAAAAAAGAAAGAATCATATTTTCTGCAGCTAAATATGTAGAGAAAAGAATAGGTTAGGTTAGGTTAGGTTAGGTTAAGTTCTCTGGAAGTGAGTGTGAACACTATGGTCTCTGTGTTATAAGGCTGTGTAGCTCCTAGAAAGTCCGACATTTCTAATTAATATGTGACCTCCAACTTCAACCCTGAAGATAGAGGGAATATGCTCCTTCGAAACTTCGGACTCTCCCCGAACTACACAATGTTACCTCTTAGAAGACCATACTCTTCAAGGAAAACATTATTCCAGTTTCATTATGTTATTAGAATAAGGTAGCTGACCTACAAAAATGGGCTGTAAGTTAATTCAATGCGTTTATATTATGTCCTGATAGATCTGTCCAACATGGGGGACACTTCCCTATTCCGCCCGTTAATCCTCTTAAGAGCAGGTAGATGGCAGTAACTCTGCTTAAAGTAGCTCATAAAACCTTCAAGTTTGTTCCTCGTTTGTTATAAAGAGATTTATACTCAACACCTGCTCCTGGAAGAAAATGAGAGAATTTATAAAGTTACCTTTATAAAGTTACTTTATAAAGTTACCTTAGGATAATATTAAGGTATCCCTAAAGACAAAATTTCTTAATTGCTGAACTTAAAAGTGACGGTAAAGTCATTCGTGTAACTTTAGAACTCAACGTAAAGGTACAGAATATAATACAACTTACAGACATGAGACTAAAATATATCCATCTGGCTACATCTACTTTCTTGGCGACACAGTCTTCGAAGAACATTGGACTGATATACAATAGATATATAGTCTGCTCTATTATTTGCTTTTGCCTCCATCTATTCTCTTTCAGCTCTGATAAATCATCCTCTACATCTTCGAGTCATTTCAGTCTGGGCCTTCCAGCTTTCTTTCTGCCGTTTGTCTTACTCTCAATACATTTCTTCGACAAGCTTGTTTGGTCCGTTTGAGTTACATACCCCGAACACTCCAACCCTCCCCTTTTGATATTAACAGAGCAAGGGTATTATGCAGTTATGTGATGAAGGGTCTAATTGTTTCAATTCCTTGTTATGGTTATCCAGACCTCATGCTAGGTTACTGGTTCATACACAATGCCCAGAAATTTCCTCTCTCACATATTTAACGCAATTGTATACTTTCTACAAAGGTAAAAAAGGTAAAATTGTCCGTGTGCTTATCGGATTATGCGCTACGCCATGAAGACGTAGGGGGGAGTGAATGTATAGATCAACGTTTTCTTGACTTTAGCATTAATTTGTGGTGAGTGGTCAGCTTCACGATCAGCCAGCCTTACCAACGGGTTAAACCCCCCGGTACCCAATGGATAGGAGGCTGGGTGGGCCTTAGAGCCAGTCTGGACGACATGGAGAAGATAATATTCTTGACCCTATCGGGGCTCGAACTCCTACCCTTCGGTCGTCCAGCCCGTAACCAATCGCTATACCAACGTTCTACAGCGACTTCTTAAAATATTACTTTTAACACACATCTTTAAAAATCAAGGCTAAGAAACGGTTTCGTTCCACTGTGGCACTCTATTTTCCTGAACTTCGCAGGTACGACACAATGATCCTGTCTCTCTCTTCCACACCATGACAAGTATATCTAATTATTCCTTTCTTCTTGTTTGTTTCCTTCTTTATTTCATTCTTCATCCAGCTATACTTGTATTTTACCATGGCTTCCATCTTCCGCACAACTTTCATAAACCTGTGTCAGAGTTTGAGTTCGTACGGCTCTGTCCTTCAGGATATGACTCCATGTTGTCTGACGGAGCGTTACCATTATTTTGCAGTAATCTGACGACTCCAGATTCAAGGTGGAACTGTAAATATCTCTTTAAAGGAAGCAATATTATTTACTCTGTTCTCATTACTAGCTCTGGTTCACTCAAAGCCTGTCTCAAATCTCACCATCACTACGTTCCCAGCATTTCCTCATTTTCGAGTTACTGCGTCACATGTCAGACTTATGTTCTCATCAGATATGGAGTAATAAGTAAGACTAACACAGGATTCTCGCTGCACCTCACACTCTGAGTCCAAAACAGGGCTCGAAACCCGGACAATATGTGTTGGCGGAGAGAGCCGGCCGCAATGCAGCCACTAACGTTGCCATTACGTGGCTTATTCTTCTACCCTGAAGATGGAGGTGAGAGGTTTCACCGAAATATTTGTAAATATGTAACGCTATATGATGTGTTCCATTTCAGAAGACAATAATCTGCGCAAGTTAAATATATTCAGAGCGGGCTGTCCCGTCAGAAGCAGAAAGCGAAAGTCAAGCCACGTGTAGCGGTTTTGTGTTCGGCAGTGAAGACTTGAATTTACATAATTGGCCCCCTTACACACGTGACTTCTTTATTCACATTGTACTTACTGAGGTAAATCCAGAAGTGTAGCAACGTATGGTTTATCTGCGCAAGCCCGAAAGCACCTGGCAACGCTGATAGCCCAGTTACATAACATTTAGGAATTTATGAATTCAAAATGCGATCACAACTCTTTAGGAAAAAGTAAATTTAGGACAGTTATACACAGAAACATTTTTCGTAATAATTTTCCTCAGGCACAGAACTACATAATAGGAATGATTAACACCCATACAATACTCTTAACGCAACAGCCAAAGAAGGTCAAGTCAGAAGATAAATACAATTTTTGATAGTAGCAAGAAAACAACCTCGTAGTAGAGAGACATATTTATAACTTTTATTTGGTCAAACAGATTCTAATTTTTTACGAATTGAAGCAACATGATTCGACAAAGATGTTCAAAGGAAAGAAGCCAAGCTGCGATGGTTACAGGAACTGAGCCAAATAAATAATCTAGGGAACATAAGACATGAAGCTAGCAGCCATTTTAGAACTAAAAAGCAGGGAATATATGAGCTTGCAATAAACAGTAAGAAAAAGAACGTTATAGAATAAATGACTTCAAGAAGGGTTACCAACCTATAGTAAGTGATGAGGACAGTGACTTGCTTACAGATTCCCACAATATTTTGAATAGGTGGAGGAACTACTTCTCTCAGTTACTGAATGTACATAGGGGCAGTGATGTTAGGCAGACAGAAACACATACAGCTGAGCGGTTAGTAGCCGATCCTAGTCCGTTTGAATTTAAAATTGATATTGCAAATTTGGAAAGTCATAAATCTGCAGCTAGTGGTGAAATTCAGGCAGAACTTATCCTGACTCCATCACGTTCTTGAATCCATAAACCCAATAATTCTACTTCAAGTAGGAAAGAACTGCCTCAGAAGCGGAAGTACTCCATTATTGCACCCGTTTACATGGAGGGCGATAAAACGTACTGTAATAATTTTCAATTCAATATACTCCCTTCAAGGTGAAGTCCATACGTAGATAAAATGACTGGGGGTCATCATGTAACAGATCAACAATTGATCGCTTTCCTTGCATTCATCAGATGCCGGATTAAAAATGGGAGTAAAATGAGACAGTACATCAACTATTCATAGGCTTCAAGAAAGCATATATCTGAGTTGGGAAGGGAAGTATTGTACAGTATTCTCATAGAGTTGGGTAAAAGTAAAAGTAAAGTAAAGCTATCCCTGTAACAGGCCATGAAGGCCCATAGGGTTGTGAGACGTTGAGGGTCCCACATTATCTAGACAATCGGCTCAAAGATGGAGGTGAGGTTGTCTGCCTTACCCGCCGGCCACGCTTTGCTCCCCAGGAAAATCATTTAATTAATTCCTAGTAATCATTTCTGTTAGAGGCTGAGTCGACCCCAAAGCCATAGTGCGGCCGGGAGGATTAGGTCAATTGAAAAAATCCAATGACCTCATCGGGGCTTGAACCCGCGACCTTTCGACTTGTAGCATAATGCCTCAACCAATTACGCTACCGCGTGTCCCCATAGAGTTTTTTTTTCTTGGCACTACAGCCCGAGTGGGCCTAGGCCTCCCTCCATGAAATTCTCCGTTCACTTCGGTTTTTCTAGATCATACACATTCGGTAGGACTCCTTGGGCGGGTGATCAGCTCGTCGCAATGCCTCTACCTGTACACAAACACAGAAAAACGCACACACACAAACTAAACATCCATGCCCTGAGTGGGATCCGAACCCACGATCCCGGTTTCCAAGCGAGCGAAGACAGTGCATGCCTTAGACCGCTTGGCCACCGTGACCGGCCCCCATAGAGTTTGGTATGTCCATTAAATTAGTTACACTTATTAAAACGTGTTTAAATAAACATACGTAGTAAAGTCTCTACAGGCGAACATTCGTCTGATACGTTTCCTATCCAGAATGGTCTAAAATTAGGGGCGATGGTTTTCAACTTTGCTTTAGAAAAGCTCATTAGGAAGGTACAAGAAATTCAGCTGGGACTGAAATTAAATGGGACACCTCAGCTGTTGGTCTATATTGATGATGTGAATTTACTGGGAGACGAAATAAATGCTCTGAAGGAACACAGAAGCTGCAACTGACGCTAGTAAGAAGGTTGGTCTAGAAGTAAACACAAAGAAAAGTAAGTGTCGTCTTACTGACGTATGTTATTGATGTCTCATTACCAGAATTACGCAATGTAAATAAGTTTCCGGCCGGTCACGGTAGCCGAGCCGTATAAGGCATGTATTGTCTTCGCTCGCTTGGAAACCGGGATCGTGGGTTCGAATCCCAATCAGGGCATGGATGTTTAGTTTGTGTGTGTGCGTTTTTCTGTGTTTGTGTACATGTAGAGGCCTTGCGACGAACTGTTCACCCGCCCAAGGAGTCCTACCGAATGTGTAAGATCTAGAAAAATCGAAGTGAACGGAGAAGTTCATGGAGGTAGGCCCAGGCCCACTGGGGCTGTAGTGCCAAGGAAAGAAAAAGTTTCCGAATTTCTTATTCTTCCTCAATTACTGACAGTCACTTTAAGTAGGATATTGCACGATGCCACCAACCAGTTTTAGCTACAGATATATATTTAGTTACGGAAACCACATCAAGAAAACAGATATACATAAAATACTGTTAATTTTTTATAATAAATACACATTCCAATGACTCAAAATCCACATTATTCTTGCATAGAAATTGTGTTCGGTTTCATTATTATTTTATATCCAGAGAGCATTCGTTTCTATTTCGGTTTAGAAAAATAAATTATCTTGATGTGTCTTCAACGTTCCGTAAATTGCTGGAAAGCTTAACTTATTATGTTTGTAAATTTATCGGATAATATGTCATTATAATACAACTTTGGGGCACGCGGTAGCATAGTTGGTTGAGGTACTATTCTACAAGCCGAGAGGTCGCAGGTTCGAGTCCCGATGAGGTGGATTTTTCAATTGACCTAATCCTTCCAGCAACACTATGGCCCTGGGTTCGACTAAGCCTCTGACAGAAATGAGTACCAGGAATCTTTCTGGGGGATAAAGGGTGGCTGGCGAGTAAAGCTGACCTCACCGCCATCTGTGAGCCGATTGTCTAGATAATGTGGGAGCCTCGACGTTTCACAAGTATATGGACCTCAAAGGTCTGTTACAGGGATAGTTTTACCTTTACCTTTAACAAAACTTCATTATAAGACGAAAGTGAGAAGAAATTACTGACCCTAAGCTCATCACCTTCTGTCTTGACAAAGCCAGAAGTATTGTTTACCTAATCTACGTCATGTCAGAAAGGACTAGGGTTAAAGGACGTTAACAAGAATATTATGACCTAAGTGTGGAGAAGTAATAAAGCTCTCGGACAAAACTTCAAGACGGCGAATCTTATAATTTGTATTCTTACGCTGATCAAACACAGAAGGATCACACAGACAGGATACACAAAAGACATTTGGAAAATGTGAAATGTACACAAATATTTGGTCCAGAAACTCAAAGGGGAGGAGCACTGGGAAGTAGAAGAGATAATATTAAAGTTGTAAACTGGACTAAATTATTTCAGAATGAAGTTGGGTTGCGGGGCTCTTGTGAACGCCGTAATAGTCCTTCGGGCCCCATAAAAGGGGGGGAATTACTTGACTCAGGGACTCTGCTTCATGTAGATTTTTCAGAGAATACTGCTTCATACAAACCGTTTTATAGAACATGCAACCTTGTCGGTCCTCATCTTCCCCTTTGGGGCAGTCTATGTAACCGTCGCAGAGGACGTGGTCTTCTATACAGCGATACCTCCCCATCCTGTCCGGGGTTGGACACGCGAACCTGTCCATACCGTCTTCCGCGGGTGGGCATTCTGTAATACAAGACAGGGCTTGGTTACTTCTTAGTTGATTAGTTACTTCTGTATAAACAGGATGGCCCAAATTTCAGTTCACTGATTAGTAAAATGTATAATATAAAAGCCAGACAAGTCTGAGTTCACAAAAAATGTTCGAAATGAGACCCTCAAAGTTCAATGGACAACCCATAACACCGTGATACCGTTCTACTAATTGACTGTCAGGTTTAGATCTGAATGTTTCCGTTAATACGAAAGAATATTTTAGGTAAACTAATTTTTGGGCCACTCTGTATGTATAACCCAATATTGGTCTCTTCTGCAAGTGACAGAATTTTTGATGGTAACAGATATTTATGGTATTTTATAAAAATAAATGGACAGTAACAGAAGCATAAGATTCACTTTCGCTTTATTCTGTTTGTTTCTTGCCGGAAGAGGCGGTTAAAGATGGCGCGGAGATAAATTTTCATGTATTTTGATGCTTGTAAGAGATGGAAGTTTTCTGTCCGTTCAATGGTCGGGCAGATTTATCTCCTTCTATATGTTATAATATAAATGCCGTCGTGAATGCAACAATTTATTTGGTTGTAGTTCTTTGTCTTTTCTTCCTCTACATTACATGTTTCGGCCGTAACTTGCCATCATCAGGTGTATTTTTCACTACGTAGCTGTCACACTGCACACAATTCAAAATCTAAAACACCAGCCTGTCAGTTTTGTTTAAAATCTCGCCAACATATGCTCATTAATTTGATTTTAGAATTTTAATTTAAAATTTTATAACTTTTAAAATTCAAAATTTAAAGTTTTAAATCACAGGGATACCCGCTCTGTGTCCACACGTGCTTCAGCGGCTATTTCTTGTTTCCAGCACCGTTCACGTATTATTCTGTGCAGGCTCCCTGTGTGTGTGTCGCTGCTCATCCTTAATACGCTATTAGCGTATTAAAGATGAAAAATACACCTGATGATGGCCAGTTACGGCCGAAACATGTAGTATAGAGGAAGAAAAGGCAAAGATCTACAACCAAATAAATTGTTGCATTCACGACCGCATTTGTATTATTACATATAGAAGTGTATAGAGCAACAGGATGCTTAAATATAATATAGATTTATCCCCGATAAAGTGCCCCAGTAGGGTTTGGTTAAATGGCTGACTGGATAAAGAACAGAATTCCATTATCAACCTCTGAAACTTTCGCAAAACAGCTTCATTGATTTCAAACAACAGAAAAAATTCATACAAAATACATAGAATTTCAGCATAATGTTGATTGTAGTTATGGTTATATTAAATGCTACATCTACACAGTGACGTCATTCATAAAGAGAACGTATATTAAAATACACGCAGGACATATGAAAATCTATACTTTGTGATATAAATTTATAAGAGAAGGCATAAGAATTCACGCCACCAGAAATAAATTGAAGTGCGTATTACATAAATATTAAGGTTTACACTCTTGTAGCATGAGGTGCTGTATATTAGGCTCCCAATGCTTCCCAGATACTTTGCCCCTACATTTTTCCTTGTTCTATCTACTACTACCCCTCTCGCAGGCTCATCTGATTTCTTCACGCCTCTATATCTGTTCTCTGTTTCTTTTCCCGCATCTTACTCTTTTACCCTGAACATGGAGGCAGCAGGTTCATCAGAAATATATTCGTAAGGTTTAACTAAACTAAGTGGTGCCCTGGAAGATATTCATCTTTATATTTTCCGCTTGATAATCTAAAGTCTCATTTGATAAACGAATGCATCCTGTTGTGTTATCCTACATAACTACTTCATTATTGGTTTCCATCTCAACACAACAACTATGACGGTCTCAGTCACATCTCACTGTGTATAAAAGTTTATTGGTCTTAATGATATGACAGTGTGCTACGTCTCGGCTTATAAAGCCATCATCAGGCAGTACACATCAATGAATATTTCTTTTCATTCATTAATTCATGGGAACTTTAATACTTTGCACGTACTGGTTATATATATTTATATGCAACTCAGAATTAAAGTAGCAGTTTCCTTACAGCGTTTACCCACACAACGCATGTTAATTTTATTTTAACCTTTCTGATATAATTACTATTTACTGCCCATGTTAGGTCCTTTCTTACTGTGACACGGCGCGCCCTCAAGACGCTGACTAAGGAAATTGCTGTGAATACATTACGGTAGCTGCGAATACATCGAATAATCAGTCTGGGACAGCTGACAAGGGGTGGTCCTCCAGCTTTGCGATTGGTCGTAGAAATAAGAACTGGTCATCGCAAGAAATGAGCGTGCTACGAAATGTTACATAGGGTCTTGAACTTGTCAGGTTATTCTTAATGCGACAATGAACTTTCGGGTTCCATAAAATGCTGAAAATTTTTAAGCAGATGAGTAACTTCTGACATAACCCAACTTTATGAAGGTAGTTGCTATTTACTTCACGTAGCAGTGCAATGCCTGCACAGTTGACCACCTATGTAACATCAGATTTAAATATATGACACAAACTCCGTCCTAAGTGCAATAATTTATTGTAGTTCTTTCGTCTTCCTTTCTTCTACACTACATGTTTCGGCCGTAAATGGCCATCATCAGGTGTATACACTCACGTAGCTGCTACACTGCACATAGTTTAAAATTTAAACGTGAGATTA